ATTCTGTCGCGCAGGTTCTGTGCGTGCTGTGCGCTGTGCATTTTTCGCGCATCGGAACGCCCTCGGAGATTCCAATCTGCATTATGTTTTGCCCTTGGGGAGTCCGTGAGTCGCGTATTCAGAACTGCGAACATGAATGACCACTCAGGTCATCGAGGTGCCCAGCGAGAACCCTGTTTTGGAAAAGGGCCGTCCGCTCTATGCAAGTGCTGCGCGAGCTCATGTACGCGTCCGGCCATGGACATCGAGGAAGCCTCAAGCGACAGCCCCATTTTGAAAAGGCACTGCACCCCACCCGTGCGCCACATTTGTTGCAGCTTTTGGTCCTCAGTGCTAGGAAGTCTCGATCGAGAGTCCCAGGTTGAGAAGGAACCTTCGTCCGTCCTCGTAACCGCTTGATACTTTTAACACGAACTGTTCGCGGCGATGAGGCGAAAACCTCAGTTTGAAAAAGAGCCGCCGTCTGTCCTCGTAGTTGCTTTGAGCTCTTCCGACGGATGCGCGCGGCGCTAAAGCGAGAAACCCAATTTTCAAAATCACCAGTGTCTCACTGTTGCAAATTTAACAGACGAGTATGTAAGGCGCTCAGGCGAACAAAAACATGTTGAAAGCCACCTGTGCCTACTTCTCTTCTAATATTTGTTCCTCACCCTCCTCTCCGATCCCCTCTTGTTCTCAGGATGTCGATGGTTTCGCGATGGAAAGCGTAACGCTCCCACACCAAGTATCAACGGACGTCTTGGAGTCTCAGGGTTGGGTTCCTTGTGGAAGGTTTCTGGTGGTCGAGCTCCTACTGTAGCCCTGCGTGGCCTGAGCTTGAGATGAGGCGACATGGAAGGAGGGGGGCGCAGCGCTCAGGGGCACCGCCTGGGCAGCGTTCGCCGAAGCGCTCCTCACTGCCCCCCCCGTTCGTTACCTCCGGCGCTGCGGGTGCAGCGCGAGCGGGCCTGGCGGATGAGCGGCTGGATTCCCTGAGATCCTGGCGTTGCATTTTTTTCACAGCGGGCGTTTCCTCTCGATTTCGGGCCCCAGGACCCTCACATATCGATCCGGCTCGAAAGATGATGCAGAAAGATAAGGTCCAAGGGTGCGGGAGATGTTTTTCACGATGTTGCAATTTTTTTGCAACGTCGGATCTCAGGGTTGTGGGATTCCTGGGCCATGTGGTTCGGTGGTGAGGACGAGCACAGATGCCAGGCTGTCTGCTTCTCCTGCGCCCACGGAGGAAGGTGGCTCGCTGGCATATGGCGCTCACCGACGACTGGTCCTGACCTGGCCCTTTCCTGCAGCTGCGACAGATTATGTGCGCTTTTTCTTGGCTTCGGCCAGCCAACAGCCGCGACCTACTAGAACCCCGAATTCGGGGTGGGCGTCGACCAGCTCGTGCCAGGCGCCGGCAAGGTTTGATGGCTGTCGGCGTCGGAGCGAGGTCTGAGTGCGTCAGGAGAATGCCGCGAGGCAGAACGCCCAGGGAGGTCCAGAGGTACGCATAAGGAAAGATGGAGGAACAGACAGCATGGAACAACTGGTGTAAGCTATGCTGCGTGGGCTATGTGGTGTAAACTATATGATGTGGGCTATGTTGTGCAAGCTATCTGGTGTATGCTACGTTGTTAAGGATATGCGTCGTGAGCTATGTGGTGTGAGCTATGTTGAGCTACGTGGTGAAGTGGCAGCGGGCGTCAGCGAGGCGGCAACAGGCGGCAACGTTGCGAGTCCTCGACATACTTACACACCGCACCAAGCGGCAACGACGCGGTAACGAGGCGGCAACGGGCGACAACAGGCGGCAATGTGGCATACCCCCACAGGCGGCAACGTGCGGCAACGGACGGCAAGGGGCAGCAACGTTGCGAATCCTTGACACCCACACAGCGCACGAGGCGGCAACGACTCGGCAACGTCAATGACGCGGCAACGAGGTGGCAATGGGCGGCAACGGGCGGCGACGTGGCGAATCCTCGGCATAATTATCGAATTCCTGAAAAATCAAAGTAAGAACCTAGAAGTGCAAGCACTGTCTGGGAAATGTAGGATACAGGGGCACGCCTCAGACGCGTATCCGAAGGGCCCAAGTCACGTTTTGGAGATCCCTCCCCTGCAACCTTGCCCCAGCGCGCGAAACAACACCAGGCTTCTCGACTTAGGCCCGATTGCCAGGGCCGATGTGCACGGGATTTCCAGGATTTCCTGAGTGCATGATTCCCGCGGCTGCCGAACCAGTGCCGGCGAGCGCCGTGGGGCTACTTGGCCCCAGCCGTCTCGTGCCCCTGGGGCTCGGCGACGCTTGGGCATCGCTGGCCGCTCTGGCTCAAGGCGCTGGCCCTTCCACGTTCTCCCTCGCGCGCACTCGCGCGCGGGAGCTGCCGCTCGCCGGTGCGCCCGAGGGCCCGCGCGCGCGCCTGGACGCGTGCCATGGCCAGCGGGGGGGGCGCCAGCCCGGCGGGCGCGCGGCCCTCTGCACGGCCCGCGGGCGCGGCCTGGGCGGCGTCGGTGCGAGGGTACTGCGCGGGGGTGGCGGCGCTGCTGGCGCTGGCGCTGCTGGGCATCTCTCGAGGAGCATCAAACAACTTGAACACTAACTTTCGGAGGTTTGGGCCGACTTCCTGGATCGGTGAGCGCGCCAGGGGCGGCGCTGGAGGCGCCGCCAGGGGGCCCCCAGCGCCGACCCGGGGAACCTGCGCGGACCTCCGCAAGGTTATGGTTTATGCCGTGTTTTGCTCCCCGGATCTCGGGGGCCACCCGCTGGCTGGGACCACTGGGGGGCTTATAAGCCGAGCGTCGTGCCTCCCTCCCTCCCTCACTCCCTGCCTCCCTCCCCTCTCTGCCTCCCTCGCCTCCCTCCCCTCTCTCTCTCTCCCTCCCCTCGCCTCCCCTCCCCTCCGCTCCCCTCCCCTCATGTCGTGCTCGGAGCGCGGCGGCGCGGACGCGGCTCGGACACGGCCAGCACGCGTCCGTGCACGAGGCGGGGCGGAGGGCGTGCGGCGTCCGAGACCAGGCGGCTCCGACGGGGGGGGGGGGCGGGCTTCCTGCGGGCGCCTGCCTGCACGGGTGGGAGGCGTTCTTTGAGGGCTGTGCCCTGGAGGCTGCCCTGGCGGGCACGAGGGCGGCGGCGACACCCACGGCCAGTCCGCGAGTGGAGTGCCACTGGCCTCCAGGCCTGGGTTCCCCGTTCCATGGCTTCCTGTCCAGCGCCGGCACCGCAGGACACCCGGGCCCCTTCTCCGAGCCTCGCCGTGCCTGCGCCGTCGATCCTTCGGCTCGGGGCGGAGGTCGAGCGCATTTCCGCCCGCCATGCCCCGCGAGCAGGGGGGGTCGAGGTGGCGACCCACTCGTGTCGCGTCAGCGGGAGTCAGAGGAGAAGACCAACGAAGGCAGAGAACTCTGCGCTCACGCATCTACAGCTTCCTCGGAGGTCCTAGGTCCTACGTTGCGAAAGAAGAAATGCAGCATCGCGGAAAGAGCACGACCCGAGCCCTCTAGACCCCACCAGTCCATGCCATTTTCGAGCCAGATCGACCTGTGATGGCCCCGGGGCCCGAAATTGGGCTAGAACGCCCGCTGTGACAAGGATGCAGCGCCCGGATCTCAGGGCCTGCCCCCCCCCCCCCCCCTTCAAGAAAAGAGAATGCGTGGCTTCGCGCCCGCTCGGCTCCAAGGGGCAGCTTCCAGGCCGCTCTGACTCCCGAAAAGTTGGGCGGAGATGTCCGCCCTGCGCTAAACAGTTGTCCAAAGTAGGGCGGATCGGGATTCGGGCCGTTGCCAGCCCTCGGGAGCCTCCCGGGCGTCGCGTCGCTGGGCAGGCTGCTGCCGGCAGCAGACGAGGAACCCAGGCGAGGCCGCCAGCTGCCGTCGGCCGCCCTGCGCTCCACCGCGCTGGGGCCGCGCGCGGAGCCGGCGGCGGACGACGTGAGCCCGCTTCGCGTGATGCACATCGCGGGGAAGGAAAGACGCTGGGCCGGCCTCGTGCGGTGGGTGTCGGGAAGGTAGCGTGCGCCATCGATCTCCGAAGGGCACGCAGTCCCTGTGAGGCGGTCCCCCCTGTGAGGGCCCCTTTTGTGCACACTGTCCGCCTGCCGGGGCTTCTTCGGCACACGCCATCCCCAGTGTGGGGGATAGGGTGTTTTGAGCGGGCAGGCGGCGCCACATCGCACGCTGTTTTTCGAGCGCCAGACATATGTTTATGCAGTTTTAAGCAGCCTCCCAGGTGGGGTCCCAGTAGATGGGGTCGGAGGATCGTGCCGCATCGCCGAGGCATCGACGATAAATCGGCGACGTCGGCGGTGCATCGGCGCTGGCGTGGAGAAAGTCGGGCTCCACATCAAGCCGCATCGCCGATGCATCGACGATGCGGCGCCATCCTCCGACCCCATCTACTCCGACCCCACCCACGGTTGGCGTCGTTGAAGACATACATCGCGTACGATGTGGCGCCATGGGCCCGCGCATCACACGCGATCCCCCGCCTTGGGGATAGCGTGCAACAAACAAAAAAAGCCTTGGGGACAGCGTGCACCGAAGAAGCCCTGGCAGGGGGACGGTGTGCACAGAAGGGGCCCCCGCGGGGAGGCCGCCTCTCAGAGACTGCGTGCCCTTCGGAGATCGACGGCGCACGCTATCTTTCCAACGCCAGCCGTACATCTCCGACGCTCCGCGCGGATTTCTTCGATCTGCGCTGGGGCCGCCCTGTCGGCGCCGGAAGCGCCGCCCCTAGCGCGCTCCGAGCGCCAGGCAGGGCGGGTTGGCGCAGATCCAGGAAGTCTCCGCGCACGGCGTCGAAAGTTTGTGTGCATGCCAGCCCTTTTTTCCCTCCGACATCACCGACAGCCACATTTCGCTGTTGGATGAGCATCCTGGCAGGTTTCGGGTCCGGATCGGCTTGCTGCCCTTGGCGACCTGGGCTCACGCGACCACGGCCCCACAATGCCCTCGGCGCGAGAGCCCCGCCAACGGCAGGTCGGCTGCAGTGCAGGTCGGTTCGGGCCCGAAGGTCCACACGGATGTTCGACGCCATGGCGAATTCGCGCGATTGGACAACGGGGCGGCCGACGACCCCGAAGCAGGAGTTCGAGCGCCTGGTGCGAATGGCGGTCAGCAAGAAGGTGGATCTTATTCTGCTCGGAGGAGACATTGTCAACTTCCCGACGGCCGCCACCGTGTCGTTCGTGAGGGAGCAGATGTCTGCCGCGGGCATCCCGTACGTCTACACCAGCGGCAACCACGACTGGATGCTGGAAGGGCAGCCCGAGGCGGCGTCGTATGATGCGGACAGGCTCCCGGAGCTCCGCTCGACGCTGTGGCCCCTCGTGGGCGGAAGCGCGGCGCTGGAAGCGGCCAGCGGAGCTTCCGGCGGCCCCTCGGCGGACGGACCACTGCTGCGCGGCTGCGTCACCGTGAAGGCCGGGTGGGCACGAACGTGCGCTCCGTCGGCCTGCTTTCGGTGACGGGGGGCTCGCGCGCCACACAGGGCCCCCGCCCCGCGCGCGCGCAAGCGCGCGCGGGGCTTCTGTGGGAGCCGGGGGCGCGCGGGCCCCTGCCAGGAGGCACGCTGACTAAACTCGGAGATGCGCAAGACTCGAGTGCGCCGGGACTCGGGTCAGCTGGCATTTTTTGACGAGCGCTTCCTGGATGTTGACGGTCCTGTCTTCGTGGGACGCTTGCAGCGGGAGCTCGTGTCAAGTTTCAGACCGGGCCTCGTCATTTTCTTGGTGGCCCCGTCAGGCAAGCCCCAGTCCCCCGCATCCGAGTCTTACGTCCACCCAGGAAACGCACGTCCATCCTCTCCCCACTCATGAGGAGGAGGAGGAGGTGGAGGAGGAGGACGAGGAGGAGGAGGAGGACCAGTGGAAACCCAAGAGTCATCAACGATGTTGGGAGAAACCCTCCCTCCAAGCTCCCTCGTCATAGGCCCCTACAACGGTTCATTTCCACTGGGGGAACTGCCTCGTTGGAAGACAACCGTTTGAAGACCCTGAAGCATGCCAACGCATTGCTCTCGGGATTCCAACGCCACGGATCAGCGTAACTTTTGCACCCTCATAACCCTGAATTGCTCCCAAGCGCCATTTCTGGTTTGTTGATCATGGGGATCCGTGAAACTCTGTCAAATGTTTGAAGCGACTGTGCGCGGCGCTAAGGCGAGAGCCACATGTTGAAAAATAACAGCCCTCAATCCGTGAAGCTCTTGCAAATTGTTAACACGAATGTGCGCGGCACTAAGGCGAGAGCCACATTTTGAAAACCACCCGCCCCTCAATCCGCGAAATTCTTGCAATTCAAAAAAAACGAATGTGCGCGGCGCCAAGGCGAGAGCCACATTTTGAAAACGACCCGCCCTCAATCCGTGACATTCTTTCAATTGCTGAAAAACGAATTTGCGCGGCGCTAAGACGAGAGCCATAGTTTAAAGACGACCCGCCCTCAATCCGTGAAGCTCTGGCAAATTTTTAACACGAATGCGTGCGGCGCTAAAGCTAGAGCCACATGTTGAAAACCACCCGCCCTCCATTTGTGAAACTGTTGCCAATTTTTAAGTTTCAGGGTCATGAGTGGTGAGGAAGTCTCAGGCGAAACGCCCAGCTCGCCCTAAAAACTGGCCTCGGAGTGCGAAAGGGAGAAGTTGCTTATGAGGAAAAGGAATGGATATGGGGGAGGAGGAGGAGAAGGAGGAGGGGGAGGGGGAGGGAGATGCAGGGCATCGACATCGTCGTCATCGACAATGGGAACTACCAGGTGGACGACGAGCAGCTGTCGTTCTTCCAGGCTTGCCTGTCGGGAGGCGGCTGCGGCCGCTGCGCCGCGAGCGAGCCCATCAGGCCCATGCTCCTGCTGCTGCACATCCCGCTGGCCCTTCCAGGCCTGGACGTGGCTCCGAAGGTCGGCGGCGAGCGAGGGGAGGAAGTGAGAAGGAGAAGGCCTTCTCAGAAGACGGCCCAGCTTCTCCGAAGCCCTCGCGCGCCTTCCGAGAAGTTTTTGTTTGTGCTTTCGGTGGAGGCTCGCGACTTCTGGACCTCCTGAGAAGGCCTTCTCCTTCTCACTCACCCCCCTCGCTTGCCGCCGGGAAGGAGTCGTGCGGGCACCCCAGCTGGGGCGAGGAGCACGACGAGAACCATGGGGTAGAGGCGCGAGCCAGCTGGCCCGCGAGCAACCTGCCCTCGACCCCCGAGTTCCTGCGCCTCGTGCAGGCACCGGGGGCCGCCCGAGGGCCCGGGGACTCGCTGGCCTCCTCCTCCTCCTCCTCCTCCTCCTCCTCCTTTTCTTCCCGAAGCAGTGGAGCCCCCCTCTGAGGGCGACACTGGTCCATGTCCAGGTGCACCGCCACCCTGCAATGCCCTAAGGCCACTCGAGCGGCACCACAGCCGCTGGCACTCTGCCAGCGACCAAGGCTTGGCACATCCTTCCAGCAGCCTTCTGGCCATGCGTGCCAGGCTTCCTGCAGGGGTCGAGGAATCCTTTCAGCTGACGAGCACTGTGAGCACCACAGTGCGAGCACGCCGCAACAGGGCGAGCCACTTCCTGCAGGGACTCCTCGACCCGAAACTTCACCAAACGGTGTGCTTTCAAACCTTGCTGCTGCAGCCGTACGTTGGCATCACGCGCACGCGTCGAGATCGACCCAGGGCAAACCTCGGACGCGGGGGCCACAAAACGGCAACACGCACACCAAGGCCTCGAGGCAGGCCCTCTAAAATCATGAGGCAAAACTTCGGGCACAACGACAAGGGGGTGAGGCGCACGGAGCCGCATGCTGCGCGCCACGTGTGTAGTGTCACGCGCGTCCACATGTGCGCCGACCACCCCCAGTCTGTGCCCCACCTGCTCAACAAACTGCTCAGCATGCTGCATGCGTCTCCTATCTTCCTCGGGCGCACGCCCGAGCTGGCCTGCATACTTAGCCCAGACATCAGCATGGAAGTTGCCGTATCTGTCACGCCTCGTGATACGGCCATCGTGCAGCGACTCCTCACCCTACGAATCGACAGGCCAGCCTCACAGAGGCCCCCGAAGTCTTCCAGGTGCCTCCAAAAGACACGCCACCGACAAGCCCAGGCAGAGGAGTGGGCCGTGGTGGCCTGCTCCCCTCTCTCAGTCACTTCACGAGACAACATCGGAATCCGTAACAGCCGTGACCGGGGGTACTGAATTCCGAACAGGGAAGATCAGCGCCTCCAATTCAGCACCGCGAGCGTCAACGACGGCATGCGAACGCGCAAAGTACACAATGGCTTCTGCCCCAAGCGGGGCATCGTCCGACAAAGTGACCACGGCCCATGCCGTACGAATGCGCCCAGGAGGCTGCAGACCCTGGAGGATTCCTTCTCTGATGAGGGCGGCGGTGATATCCATGGCCAATCCACGATTGGAGTTCCACTGGCTTCTACACCCTGTATTCCTTATCTACGGGTTTCTTACCCAATGCCCCCACCGTGCTCCACTGGCTCTCGGAGGGCGAGCCATCCAGGAAAGCTGCCTTGGCCATCAGGACCCGGGGGCCCGCGTGCCGATGCCAAACGGCTGCGGCCTGGGCGGGGGGCCTCCAAGAGGTAGTACGCTGAAGGGGCCACAGAGCCCGCTCCAGAAGCACACGGACCTGGGGCCGATCCTGAGCCTGGACCAGATGAGCAAACGCACTAGGGCAAGGCAACTCTTGGCCCAGCTCACACTCGAACGTGCCTGTGAACCAGCTCGCCTGGCAGCCTGCACACAAGGCATCCGCTGTTCAAAGCAAGCCTGGCCTCAGACTTCCTGGCCAAGGGCCACTGCGCATGCACTATGCACGATGTGAGGTAGGCACGAGCCTTGGGCCCCAGGGTGGGGAGATCACGATGTTTGCCGCAGCGAGGCCGTCCACTAGAGACCGCCTGGACCAGGGGCAACCAAACAGCACCAAACTCGAGGTGTTTCAAATCATTGTGCTTCGCCACCTGCCGCCTTTGCCAGGCCGTGGCAGCCTGCACGAGAAAATGGCGGATCACCTTGGGGCACACAGCTGACACGTCCAACTCAAACGCAGATCTCAACGGGCCAACTACCTGCGTCCACAGAGAGACAGCAGCAGATCCTTCCATCCCGTCCCGCACCACGTGACTCGGAACCCATCCCTCCCATATCGCTCGACAGAGCGTGAGAAGAGGCAACAACGTGGCACGGAAAATAGGATCTGCATCTTTTCCACATGCCACAACTAAAGTCCGAGACTTCCCTGCGGTCGCCCCCGTGAGGGCAGAAAAGGCAGCGCTGCGCATGGCCTCAGGGTCAGACGTGGAACACCCCGTGACGTGCATACCATACGTCATAGGCGCCTCCAACCCAGAGCGCGCAACGTTACGAGCGGCGAGATGTTTCCTGGTGCCCGTACGAGTGAGACCTACAAGACGCAGACGCTGCCGAGCCCCACGGAGCCGTCCTTTACGCACAGCGTGCCCAGGACGACGGCCACTCGAACCATCAATCCCGAGATTCCATTCGTGCTGAGTAGCTTTTATCCCCATCTTAGTATGCAGAAGCCATGCCATTTCATCACGCACACCCCGATCAGCGCACACCACTCACGACGCATCAACGTGCACACGTAAATCCGCTGCTGCTAGCGCCAACACCAGTTCCCGAGTAACTCTAGACTGCGAACCGATCCTGTGCAACAGCAAATCGTCGACGACAACAGTGGGTACGACCGTGCGACACATCCGATACACCGAATCCAGAGGCCGAATCAAAATGAGCTTGAACATGCACGTTGCCCAACCATCGCCAGGTATGATCGTTTGCTCAACCTTCAGCGGCGACGAGACAACTTGGCCCAAGCAACAAAACCGCTCGGCTCTGTATAAACTGAGATTCAACTTCAGCTGCCAGTGTGGGAATCCTGTCGCAACAGCTGCTTCCAGAGGCCAATGATGGCCCACTTGCTCGGAAGCTTTAAATCGATCCAGAAGAACCATACCAGACACCCACATTCCCTAAATTGATCCTTTCGCCTTAGTGGTGACATACTCCGACCAGGCTGTCTGCTGCCAGACGGCGCGATCGCACGATCGTCCCTTGGAGGCCCAGACATACGATCGATCATTCCTAGACTCCCACTCATGAGCAATCGGTCTGCGCAATCTCGCCTGAATGCGAGCGAGCACGTGAATAAGCGCAATAGGGCGCACACCGCCCAGGCGCCTGGACAGAAAGGCGATTTTTAACGACAGCTTAGAAGACTTCCGCCGCTCTCTCTTCTGCAGCCGCGGGGCTCGCGCGCTCCGGGAGCTCCACGTGCGCCCGAAGCTCTTGTGGGAGCCGTGGGTGCACGAGCTCGGCGGCTGCGGCAAGACGCGTCAGGAGTCGGGCCGCAGAGGGCGGGCCCGAGCGGCTCCAGCCTCAGGATGGTGCACGGCGCGCCACGAGGTGTGCCTCCCCGGGCGCCTCACTCTCAGCCCCGCCGGGGGCCGAAAACGCGCGGACGAGCACCGGAGTCCCGGGAGAAGGCGGAGGGGGCAGGTGGGCGGGAGAGAGGGAGGAGGAGGAGGAGGAGGAGGAGGAGGAGGAGGAGGAGGAGGAGGAGGAAGACAGACCTGACAGCGTGGTCCCCTCCAGATCGAGGCCAGAGCTTCGGCAGCGGCGGTCTAACCGCCGCAGGCCGGTGCGAGGCCCCGCGGCCTGACGAGGCCACCGCCCCGGGGGGGGGTTCGGCCAGCCCCCCGCCCGGCCCCTGGCCAGGCTTGTCCCGGCTCGGGGTCGAAAGCCGAGCTGCTGGATCGGGTTCTGGCCTGGACTGCTGACGCTGGCCAGGGCCAGCATCATTTAGCATGTCCCCATCCCCGCTGGGCCATGGTGATCGAGAAGCCGAAGTGGGGTGACAGTCTGGCCCCTCCGTGACAGAAGGGCGAGCTGTGATGTGTGCAGAGGCCCCTCTGTGAGAGAAGGGCTCCTCCGACGAGCCCGTGTGTGAGAGAAGGGCTCGTCATTTTGTTTTTTCTCCCTTTGCTTGTCTCGGCCTCTGTTCAAGGGAGGAAAGACCACCCAGACCTGACAATTGACGTTTACTAAACGGCCCTGGGCGTTTACTAAGCAGCCCTGCCCTGTTCGATTCCTTTCTTGGGTGCGTTGACTAAACGGCTTCGCTTGTCGGGGTGATTATTATGGGGGTGGATTTTCTGCCCTCTATTGATGTCGGCCCCACCAGCTCAGCCTCCTGTAGCTGGGCACAGGCCCCGCAGGGCCCGAAGGAAGAGGCGCACCTCCCTGCCGCGGGGGGGGGAGTCGGTCAGCGGGGCCAAGGCTTCAGTCGGGCATGCCCCTCTACAAGAGGAATATTCAAACATAGTAAAGAAATAGTATGGGGACGATGTTTCTATTATTGTTTGACGATGTTTGAGTATTTTGTTGTTCTTTCCCATTTTCGTTCACAATCCGCTGGTTCTCTCTTTGACAATGTTTCCTGGTTCGCTCAAAATCCGCCTGTAGGGGGGCATGCCCGACCTAAGCCAAGGCCATGCCAGTGGGGAGAACTAGGGATTGGTGAAACGACGCTCACAGTGCTGTGGCCCTCAGACCAGCGGAGTGGTCAGACTCCTCCCTGACTCCGGGTCCGCCCTGCTCTGGGCGATTTCACATGGAAGGGCAGACATTCCCGCACTATTGTTCAAGTTCTTTCGATGCCGATTTCTGCCATAGTTTTCCGTCGGCGTTTCCGCCTTACCTCGTGGACAGAGTAGTGGGATGCACGGAAGTGTACACAAAGTTGCGAAACGTTCCACAGGTATGCGATGTTCCAAAGAGCTGCGGAACTCTCCACCAGCATGCTGCGGAAATGCCCGCTTTGCTTCTTCTGGGGCGGGAATTTCCGCCCTGCTCGCCTGCACCCTGCGGGATGCACGTCCGATACCATCCTCAGTCGGAGAGCCAACCAGCGTGCAGCGGCTCCAGATGACCGGGGCTGCCCGGCACGCCCTGGCCCGAGCCGCCGCCGCCGCTCACCGAGCGCGCTCCACTGCTCGCCAAGTGCCTCCTCGCAGACGTCCGAACAGGACGCGGAGCTGCTTCGACGTGAGGCCGCGTGAAGCCCCCCCTCCACCGCGTGGGACCCTCGCGACCCCCCGCGAGCAGCTGCCGTCGCGAGCAGCGGAGCGCGCTCGGCCAGCCGCGGGGCGGCCCCCCCGCCTTGGCAGGCGAGCGCCTCGCCGGCGGGCCCCCTCCGGGGGGTGCTGGCGGGGCACGTCCACCGCGAGACGGCGGTGCCCCTCGCGCCCGCCGGGGGCTCGCCGCGGGCGGCGCCCGGGGCGGCGCGCGTTGAGGCGAGCGCGCGGGAAGGGAGGGGAGGGAGGGGTCGAGGAGGGCTCGGCCTCTCCAGGCCTCCCCAGGTGGGGTCGGAGCAGAGTGGGGTCGGGGGATCGCGCCGCATCGCCGACGCATCGCCGATGCGGCTCTCGGTGTGGAGCCCGGTCTGCTGCACGTCGGCGTCGCCGAGGCATCGCCGACGGGTCGGCGGTGCATCGCCGGTGCATCGCCGATGGATCGGCGATGTGGCGCGATCCTCCGACCCCAGACCCCATCTAGGAGGCCGCTCGCAAAGTCCCTACTCGCAAGCGTCTGAAAAAAAACAAGTCTTCCTCTGTGTCATGTATCGCGAAAGCCCCGCGGCGGATCCAGGCCATTTGCGAGTAGCTGTTTTGCGAGTAGCGGAACGCGCTTGTCCGAGGGAGCACGGAGGGGCGGGGAGCACGGAGGAGGGCGATCCGAGGCAGCGGCAGCTGGCCTCCGGGGGTCCCCTCGGTGGTGTCTGGTGCGCTCTCAACTGTCCCCGACGAACCGCGCGGGTTTCCGGGGTCGGCGCTGGGCCTCCCCGGTGGTCCTCACCGGTTCTTCCCCAGGGCCGCATCCCGCAGCCACAATGTTCGGAGGAACGAGAAGCGACACCGCCACCAAGGGGGCCACCCCCAGCCAGGAGGTCCGCGATGCCTCCCCGAGCTGAGGATCGGAGATGTCTCGAGCGTCTCGGCGGCTTGCCAGCCTCCAGATACCTTCCAGCGGCTGCGCCTCGCCGAGAGGTGGCCCGATCGTCCCGAACGGCTGCCGGAGAGCCGAGTTACGAACCGAATACCGAAGGCAACGACGGCGGCGACGACGATGATCAGAGGAGGGGGAGTGGGGACGACGGCAGTTGGCCTTCGTGGGGCCTTCTCGTCGCCACGGCTGGACGCAGCTCGGAAAACTGGTGCGTTTGGGCCACGGGAGGGGTCTCGGGGCCGACTATGTTCAGCTGCCGCTGTCTCAACTCGCCCTGCTCCGAGGGAACCACTGGGGCCTTTGGCGTGCCCCCGAGAGCAGCCCAGGTCTTCGGGGGGGCATCGCCTGCTCTGGAGCCTTCCGTGCCGTTGTCAGATCCCCCTCCTTGGCTCCCTTGGTGCAGTGGTCCTCCTTTCCCTCCGTCCTCCGCATCCCGGCCAGCGCCGCTACGACAGTTTGCGCAATTCTTGCGTTTCACGGCGTTGTCATCGATTGTTAGCTCATCACCGCCACTGTTGCCCCCCCCCCACCATGAAAAGGCTTCCCCCCCCGCATCCCAGACGCGGAAGACGAGCAGGCTCGGACACCACTGGAGCGACGTTTGTCCGCTGGCGCCTGGCCCCCTTCTCCCCGCTCTCCCAGCGGCGCCTTCGGCGTGGCCCATGGTGCGCTTCGCGCGCCACGCTGGGGCGTGGGAGAGGCGCCCAGCGCCAGTGGGCAAGACTCGTTCCGGCGGCGCCCGAGCCTACAGTCGGGTCTGGCTGGAGAGGACGCGCGAGAGGACACCATACCTTTCCAAGGGCAACATTGCCAGAGGAATGTAAAAGGCATGGATCGCGACGCATGAGACACAGGGGTACCCTTGATTTCGTAGGGTCGACCTACTAATCAAACTCGACTGTATGTCTGTGGGTGCGCCACAGGGTCTCCAACGATTCGCTTCGATGCAGTTGAATGCTGGCCGGGGCCGCGAGTTCGATTCGCTTCGGTTCGCCGGCGAGGGCGGGGGCGAACGGGGGCGAGGGCGGGAGCGAGCGGGGGCTGGGCGGGGCACAACCCGGCAATCCCGTGTCGATTCGGTTTCGGAGCGATTCGCTCGCAATCCGAATTAGCGCCATCGGGGAGGCAATTCCGCCCACGGCAGCTGTGCGATCTGCTTGGCAGCGCACCGACCTCCGCACGCGAACCAACCAGATCCTCGGCTCCGTGCAGGTCTGCCCGAAGCTCGGCCCGTAATTTTGGTCGGTTATCCGATTCGAACTCGTGTCGGAATTGCATTCGAACGGGTGCGAAAAAGTGAGGCGGAACTCTCCGCCCCAGAAAAGTACAGTCAACGCGCCTAGTACGGACGCGCGCCTTCATCTAGGGTACCCTTGTGTTCTTGCCTCTGCGGCCCGTGCCTTTGCCGTTTTCATTGGTCGCCCGCCGCCCCCAAAATCTCAACTTCGGCCTCCAAGGGTCTTGCGTCCTTACGACTCGTCCTTACTACACGCTTTGACTGTCGGGCGGCTATTTCGGCAAAGTTATGGCGAAAACAGCGACGGCAAAGCATGGCGGACACCGACATCAGAGGAGCTTGAGAAAAGTAGGGCGGACTTTTCCGTCCTACTTGCGCAATCCAGATGAGGGACGAAATGGAGCAACACCCCCCCCTCCCCCGCAATTCAAAGTTGGCACGTGCCTTGAAGACCACTCGGAGACCCAAAATCGGAAGATCCGAAACCAACATTGCATTTGGGAGGGGCGGGGGGAGCTCACACCATAATTATGTTCTGCATGAGTGCTGCTTCATTGTTTCCGACGCCTGTCGTTCAAAAAGTAGGGCGGACCCGGTGTCAGGGAGGGGTGCACTGGCTCAGGCGGGGCCCTTGAGCCGCCCGCCCGTCGCCAGCCGGGGCCCGGGTGCCCATGTAGCCCCGCCCGGGAACGTGCGGCCTCGCAGCCGGGTGCCCGTATCTCTCGCCGAGCCACCGGCGACGCACCGCCGGTCCCACGTCCGTGCTCCCCCCCCCTCCGGGGAGAGGGGGGACAGAGGGGGGGGGCGGAGACGCCCACCCCGGGCAGGCTCCTCTCCTCGGGTCGACGCCTGCAGGGCCCCGCGCTCGCCCCAAACAGAAACAAAAAGCCGCGTGCTCGCCCCGCGGCGCGCAGCGTCCCAGAGCACACACGTGGCCCCCGTTGCGGTGCCGTGTGCGGCCGTGCCCGTGGCCCTGCGAGGTCGCAGCTCGAGCAGCTCCAGCTGCTGGCGCATCGGGGGAGGAGGAGGAGGAGGAGGAGGAGGAGGAGGAGGAGGAGAGGAGGGAGGAGGAGGAGGAGGAGTCTGGGGTGCCCTGCTGACCGACCACTCGTCGTCCCGACCTCTCGACGCCGCGCCAATGCCTCCCGCGAGGCGCTCCTGCCTGCGAAGCCTACCCTGAGAGAGGCCCCGAAGGAGAAGCCATGGGATCGCCGCTCGCTCGTCCTGGAGATCTCTCGTCGTCCTCCTCCTCCTCCTCCTCCTCCTCCTCCTCCTCCTCCCTCCTCCTCCTCCTCTCCTCCTCCTCCTCCTCCTCCTCCTCCTCCTCCTCCTCCTCCTCCCCTCCTCCCCTCCCTCCTCCTCCTCCTCCTCCTCCTCCTCCTCCCCCTCCTCCCCCTCCTCCCCCTCCTCCTCCTCCTCCTCCTCCTCCTCCTCCTCCTCCTCCTCCTCCTCCTCCTCCTCCTCCTCCGCTCTATGACTTGGGATGCTGCCCCGACTCTGCGGCGAGCGAGGGGGGAAGTGAGAAAGAGAAGGCCCTCTCGGAAGGCGGCGGGAGTTCTCAGAAGCGCTCTAGCCTTCTGAGAAGTTCTCTTGTGTCCTCGGGGACGGCTCAGAAAAGTTCTCGGAAGGCCATGGGGGCCTTCCGAGCCCTTTGGGAAGGCCCGCCCCCTCTGCTGGTGGCTTTCGGGCCACAACTCGGGTCCCCAGTGGCAGGTTGGGGCGATCCGGGCATCCCCAGAACGCCCTCGGCGAGGCGCAGCTGCTGAACGGCACCCCGAGGCTGGAAGATCGCCGAGAACCGACGACGACGTCCGAAAACCTCGAACGTCGAACCTCTCACTTCTGGCGCGCCGCCTGTTCTCACCCGGTCTCAGGTGCTGTCTTGGTCAGAGCGTTCGCCGGCCGGCTCTGCCGCTGGCGACGAAGTGCCCAAGCAGTACACCACCCACCTCGCGGCGGAGGGAGGGCACCGGATCATCACTCTCTCGCTTCGCCGAGCAGCGTGGCAACAAGGATCAAAAAGTGCACGCGTGTCGCCGCTCGGCGCTCGGTCGCGGCGGGCGCTCGCGATATCCCTGAGACCTTGGCGTGGCAATTTTTTAACAACGGGCGTTTTCGCCCCGCTTCGGGCCCTGGGACCCTCACAGATCGATCCAGCTTGAAAACTGGCGCAGAAAGATGGGGTCCAGGGCTCTGGTCTGCGACTTTGCAATTTTTTCGCAACGTTGGATCTCAGGTTGCGCTCCCCGCCGTGCTGTTGCCGCTGGCGCCCTCCTGGCCTTGGTCTCAGGCCGGTCGGAAGTGGCAGAGGTTGTCGGGGCTCGCGTTGAGGGGGTCAGCACCAAGAGGAGGAGGAGGAGGAGGAGGAGGAGGAGGAGAAGAGGAGGAGGACGAGGAGCAGGAGGAAGAGGATGAGGAGGAAGAGAAGGAGGAGGTGGAGGAGGAGAAGGAGGAGGAGGAAGGAGGAGGCTCTGGCTGACCCGGATTTGGGAACCATGGGGCCGATTCCCCCTGTGCGCCCTCCGATGATCCAGGCTTGGGAGCTACTCAGCGGCCGGCCAGTCTCCTCGACAGGGCCCTGGTCCGTAGCCGCTGTAGCCCCAGAGCTCGCACGCCTGTTCCGGTTCCATCGGTTCGGGCCTACTGCGTCGGCTGGAGGTAGTCCAGAGGATGACCTCTTCGGGCTCTTCTGCGCGCTCGAGAGGCTCGTCGAGTGCACCGACTGTGGTAGAAGGGGTCTGGGTCGGGCGGGGCTAGGGGCTAGGTTGAGAATCGATCCGTTCCAGAGCGTTCCAGGACGCTCTCAGAGCGTTCGGGAACGCTCTGAGAAGGCCGCGCCGCCCGATACATCCTCCAGAGCCGCTGAATCTCAGAGATTTCGGGGGGGGACAGAAACCCCAACCTGACACGTCGATTAGTGAATGGAGGAGGAGAAGGAGGAGGAGGAGGAGGAGGAGGAGAAGGAGGGGGAGGGGGAGGAGGAGCGGGAGGGCGAGGGGGGGGTCGCTGTCGCCCTCGCGGACCTCGCCCTTCTCCTTCTGCTGCTCGCCCGGCGGGGACAGCTTCTTCCAGATCTAGTTCGGCCTTGAGGGATCGCATAGACAGATCAGCGCTGCAGCATTGCCTTCGTTCGTTCCTCCTCCTATTTACTCCTCCCCCTCCTCCTCATCCTCCTCCTCCTCAGCATCCTTCCAAGCTCTTGCCGCATCCTCATCATTCTCCTCATCATTCTTCCCTTTACTCCTCCATCCTTCCTCCTCCCTCACTTCTTCCTCAGACCTCTACTCCTTTTCCACATCCCTCCGCCTTCCGCGTCGTTCCTTCCTCGTTCCTTCTCCGTCTTATCTTCCCCTCATTCGTCCTCCTCCCTCCTTCCTCGTTTCTTCCATTATCCCCGTCCTCCTTCTCTCTTGGGTCCCCTCCGTCTCCTCATATCTCCCATCGTCCTATTAGCCCTGCTCGAATTCTTCTGCCCCCCCTATCCTTCATTTGACCTTCTGCGGGGGGACGCGAGGGTTATGAGAAGGCTTGCATATGGTTATGCTGTCAACCCGCATGGTCCGGTGGTTCGGAGGTGCCGTTTCTCGTTTGCGCTCTGGCGCTGGCGTCCAGACTTGCCGCCGTTGACATCGACGCATTTTCATATGAAGATCTTATGTCTTAGGCCAGATTTGAACCGTCTTCCCTCTATCATCATCTCCATCGTCCTTCTTCCCTCATCCTTGTCCACTTCCTCGTCCTCCTCCACCCTCCATCCTCTGCCCTCCTCCTCCTCCACCTCCTCCTTGTCATGCTCTCCCCCTCTCCCTTCCCCTCAAGTTCCTCCTCCCTCCCTCCTTTCCTTCTCCCCTCTCCCCTTCCTCCCTCCTCCTCCTCCTCCTCCTCTTCCTCCTCCACCCTGCCCCTTCTTCATCCTCCTTCTCGTGCTCCTTCTCCTCCTCCTCCCTCCATTTCCCTTCAAAAAGAACTCCTCCATGCCGCACACCCAGACGTGTCGGTAGGGCGGGCCGGGCGGGTAGGGCGGGCCGGGCGGGTTGCTTTGATTCCGAAGCCTGAAATTTGCAACAGCTTCACGGATGGAGGGCGCGCCGTTTTCAAAATGTGGTTCTCGCCTTAGTGCCGCATTCATACGTCTTCAGAGCTTGCAGCTGTTTCACGGATGGAGAACGGGGCGTTCTTCAATTGTGGTTCTTGCCTTATCGCCGCGCACATCCGTTTTAAAGTTTGCAGCGGTTTCAAACATGGAGGGCGGGCGGTTTTCACAATGTGGTTCTCGCCAAGGCGCCGCGCACATTCCTCTCAGAAGCTTGCAGCAGCTTCAACTATGGATGGCGGGCGGTTTTCAAAATGTGGCTCTCGCCATAGCGCCGCGCGCATCCTTCTGAAACGTTTGCAGCAGCTTCAAAAATTGATGGCGGGCGGTTTTCAAAATGTGGCTCTCGCCTTGGCGCCGCGCGCATTCGTTTTAAACGTCTGCTGCTGTTTCAAAGGTTCGTATGGTTGCAGTCACAGAAATTGTGTTCTGGCATGATTCAGGATTGTCAGGACGCACAAGCCACGCTGATTCGCAGCTCTGAAGTCCCAGGAATTGCGTTTTGGCGCGATTGAGGATTCTGAGACAGTTGACTTCCAATTTGGCGTTTCCCGCAACGAAAAAATCCTTGTATGGACCTGTAAAGAAGAAACTCGGAAGGAGGATTAATGCAATATCGTTGATGCGTCTTGGGTTTACACGGGTCCTCCTCCGTCTCCCTCTTCTGCTCCACCCGCTTTCCCTCCCCCCCCCGCCTGGCTGACCCCCCCCCCCCCGACAAAGGAGGACCAGCCCTCACCAAGACCTCTACGAGGACCACAAGAAGCGAAAGGAGGAGATGAGGAAGCGCATCGAGGCGAGGAAGGCCGCAGAGGTCAGCTACCGGCCCAAGATAGGCCCCGGCGGGTCCGGGGCGCCCCGCCGGCTCGGTGCGACCATGTCCTCTCAGAGCCGGCCCCACGACAAATTTGTCGAGACGGCCGTGCTCCCCGCTCGATTCGGACATCTCGAGGCCTCTTCGGGCCCCCCGGACCATCAGCAAAAGCCAGGCAGGATGAGAAGCACATGCAGATCCGGCGCCACGGGGGAAGTCGAGACGGCCGCGTTCCCCTTTCGATTCGGACATCCCGAGGCCCATTTTGGCCCCCAGCACCGTCAGTAAAAGCTACGCATGGTCAGAAACATGAGCCCCGTGCAGTGAACCTGTTGCAGGCCTGCTTGGGTGGGGCTCCCGGTTCGCCTGGTGACCTTTCGATTCGCACAGCAGCTCACGCCAGTTGTGTGGAGATGTGCTCTGTCCCCCCGGCCCCAAAAATCTAGGAGAAATAAAAGCGGCTCCGGGGGCCCGCGTCTCGCGGAAGGGGGGAGGGGCTCGGGGACGGCGCTAGCGGGGGCGCGGCCACTGAGTACTGCCGCGAGTTCTCGGCGGGCGAGCGAGCGAGCCTGCTCGCGCAGCCGGCTCTGGCGTGCGATGTTGCCACAGCAGTCCGACACCCACGCCTCCCTGGGCATGAAGTTCAGGCGCTGGCATGAGAACCATTTGGGTTCGGGAGGGTCCCTGGTTTTCGGGCCGTTCCCCAGATCTTGGACGCGAGACTCATTCAGGGCCGAGTCTCGCCGTGGCCATAAAATCTCCTTCGTTTGTTGTTCGACGTTCTTACACTAGCACGATGACTGTGCGAAGAAACTCTGACACGATGCCGTGTTATCGCTTATGTGTGGCACCTTTCGTGTCTATTTGATTGCAGTTTGGGCCACACGATTCCCGTTTAGCTCAGCTCATGAGTTCCGCTTGGCTGATTTCGTATAGAAGGTCTGGTTTCTCTTATCATCTCCCCCCTCTTTCCATCTTTCATGTTATGAACAGATATTCGGATGTATGTGTATATGTATGCATGCATGCATGCATGTATGTATGTATGAATGTATGCAAGCATGCATGTACGTATGTATATATGTCTGTATGCATGTATGTATGTATGTATGCATATGTTTGTGTGTATATATGTATGTATATGTATGTAACCCTCTCAATCATGTTATAGGTCCTGCCTCGTTCTGCTTTGCTCCCGCTCTGCAAACGCTTGTTTGCAACGCCATGGGGCACAGCTGTTCTAACAAAGTGCTATACGCTCGGGATCTTGAGTGATTCGGACGCCATCAATTCGTAGCATACCCGCAGGCCCTTTTGATCGAGCTGCGTTTGGGGAAAAATGAGCCCCAAGATACGCTTTCCCCACGCATCCGCGTAACTTCCGCCATGGTAGCGGTGAGCGTGGTTCTGCGGTGAACTGCGCAGATCAGATCCACGGAAAGACTGGGGACGTGCGCTGCCCATGGCAGCGGCGCCCAGAGAGCAGCTGGTGAATTGCAAAAGCGACGTCAAGCTGCCAGAGTTCAGTGGCAGAGATGAGGACTGGTCCTGCTGGTCCATCAAAGCCCACGCGTTCTTCGCGCTGATGGGCTGGGATGACCTCATCGACAGCGTCGAGGCCCAGCCAACGCTCGCGGTGGACAACGTCAGCATGGGCTAGCGCGCGGCAGCGACGAGCAAGCTTCTGCATGCCGTGCTGGTCACCAAGACCCAGCGCAAGGCGCTGGCGATGGTTACGCTCGCAGGCAGGCACGAGGGTTTCGTTACCTGGCGGTCGATCAAGAACGAGTACGAGCCTGGGATGGGCAACAGGTTCGCGGCCATGCTCAGCGGCCTGCTCAACCCCAGGCGGGATGACCAGAAGCCGTTTGCTGACCAGCTCGTTAACTGCGACAATGACGTGACGAGGTGCGTCATGCAGGCGGGGAAGGACTTCGGCGATGAGTTTCGCAATGCCACGCTGCTCGTCCATAGCCCCGAGCCGTGCAAGACCGCGCTACGCAATGCTCCGACGGCCGCCAAGGTCTCGCACGTGGCGCTGAGGACCCACCTGAGAGAGTGGATGGCGTCGGGACAGGTTTTCGCAGCTAGCGGCACGGTGGATCAAGGAGTGGCGCCGATGGAAATCGGTGCAATCTCTGGCCATGCCCTGCCGCGACAGCCTTGGCCCAAGCGCAAGGGCGACAAGTCGGGAGGCGGCAAGGGTGACAAGATGAGCGGCAAGGGCGGAAAGGGCAGCAAGAAGGGAGTCAAGAATGACAAGCTGAAGGGCAGCTACCCCGCCAAGCTAGGAGGAACCTGCAACTGGTGCCACAAGCAGGGGCACAAGGAGAAGGACTGCTGGCACAAGGCGGCCGGCAAGCCACGGGCGCCGCCGGCAGCGCCCCCGAAGGCGGCCGCAGTCCAGCAGGCCCCTGCAGGCGCGGAGGGCCAGAGGACCGTGAGCGCGGTGGCTGCAGGCTCCGACGGCGACGAGGTCGGTTGGGTCTTTGGAGTCAGGAGCTCGGTCGGAGGCTGCCGCAGGGAGGAGCGCAGAGGGCTCATCCTCGCAGACAGTGGCAGCGACGAGCACCTCTGCGGCCAGGCGTTCGGAGCACAGCATCCAACGGTTCAGGAGGACCCCGCCGCGCCCAAGCTCACCACGGTCAGCGGGCAGAGGCTTGGTACCGAGGGGCCCCGTAGGATCCCGATGGTCGTCGGTGGATAGAAGGGTCGCCAGCCATGCTTGGGGGACCTCAGAGTAAGCAACGACCTCGCCCCTCAGGACGCGGTGCTCAGCCTCGGGAAGCTGGCGCGCATGCAGTTCAGGCGTGTCCTTGAGGAGACCGACCCGCGCGCTGTGAACCTCGCGGCGGCCGAGCGGGCGGGCGTGAGGCTAGTCGGCAATTCGTTCTACTTCGCTGCGCAGATCTACGGCGCGATGGGCGATGCCAAGCTCGCAGCCTGCCCCGCCAGGGTCGCCGCAGATGGCGCCACAGGAGCTCCGTGGGGGGCGGTGCGAGGAGAGGGCCCTCCGCCGCACCCAGAAGCTCGAGGGTCGCGTGACCCGGCGCCGCCAGAGGCAGGAGCCGCGGCACCACAGGCGCAGGCGGCGGCGCCGCCACCCCGGGCGCCGGAGGCGGCGGCGCCCGCGCAGGGCCAGGACGCACCAGCGACGGCACAGCCGTCAGGGCGGTCATGCCGCGAGGGGTTTGGACTAAGCTCGAGGATCGACGCCACGCAGAAGCGCTTCAAGGAGATCTACGCCCCATGCTACGGGACCAAGGCTCAGTGCCGGGCACGGCTCGTCGAGTACGAGGGCAGACGCAAGGTGAGGGCGGCGACGGATGACTTCTGCGAGCTAAGGCGCGAGGAGATGAGGCGTCAGGCGGAGTCGGGGCAGGTGGAGGAACCAACCGCGTTCCCCGACGTTCGCGAGCCAACGCCAGAGGACAGACAGCGCCACGAGAAGAACCAGCACTGCCCACCGCGGCGCTGGTGTGGGCATTGTCAGATGGGGCGCGGGCGCGACAGGCCCCGCGAGTTGTTAGACGCGGAGGTGGAGCGCCTTTCCGTGATCGGGCTTGGCCTGGCATTCTTCAAGGGCGAGGCGGCCGACGCCGTGGAGGCGGGCCCCCGCGCCGAGGATGGCCAGAGATCGCGGTGCTGGTGGTGCTGGTGGTCGCGGATGCCGACGCAGACGCCATGCGCAGTGTCCCGAAGCCTGACCGACGCGCTGACCCCTACACGGCGGCAGCCACAGTGGCGTTCATCAAGAGCCTCTTCCATCAGAAGGTCATCCTATGGCCAGACCACGAGGACGTCATGATGGACCTGGCCAACATGGTCGAGGCGGAGCTGCCCAACCGTGTGGTCGTGAGACCTGCACCTACGTTCAGTTCTCAGTCGAACCCCTCCGAGAATGCCAATGACATCATCCAGGCACAGTTCCGCGCGAGCAGGAGCGCGCTGAAGGCGCGACTGGGAGCCGGGGTCCGCCCAGGCACGGCCATATACTAGTGGCTGCAACGCCACGCGGGGTGGGCATGCACCAACCTGAGGATCAAGGCGAGCGGTCGGGCAGCGCATGAGGACCTCTACGGCCGCGCCTACACTAGGAAGATGGCCACTCCAGGGGAGTCCGTCCTGGCGCGCCTGCCCAGGGGCAAGAATCGCAGGGCGAGAGGCACGGTGCACCGCAAGGGTCACATAGGCTTCGCGAGGGCAGTCTGGCTAGGGAAGAGCTACGACACCGACGAGCACATATACGCCCTCGCGACGGGTGAGCTAGTCGCGACGAGGACCGTCAAGAGGCTGCCCGAAGAGCGGAGATACAACCGCACCGCCGTGGCGGCGATCACGCACATGCCGAGGCAGCGCCGAGGGCAGGGCACTGTCCCGCGTGGGATCGAGCCTGTCGCAACGCCCCCTGCCGCCGCGGACGCCGACCTGGCGGCGCAAGAGGCAGCTGAGACTCAGGCAGGCCCGAACGCTGCTGCCCAGACCACTGGGGCCGCCCATGGCGGCGGGCCAGCATCCCAGACGGGCGCGCCCATGGCGGCGCCCACGGCAGACGCGCCAGGCGGTGCCGAGGCGACTGCTGTGGACATGCAGGCGGAGCCAGCGACACAGACGTCGGCTGGAGGTGGCGCTGGGGGCGACGCCCCCATGACGCCGGGGGCCGCAGCACCAGCGAGGCCGATCGCCGAAGCGACCTGCGGAGGAGGGTGACAACCGAGGCACTATTGCGAGGTCCCGAGTTAGCGGAGTAGCGGCAGAGCACTGCGATGACGTTCGTCTTGACTTCTTGCAGATCCTCAGGGACATGGATGTCCCTGATCCCCATGATGCGCCGGACTCGCAGTGGATTGAGGCTTCCACCAAGCGGGCCCTCGACGGCCTGAAGCAGCACGGGGGCAGGCAAGCTCGTCAAGCGGAGCGAGGCCGCCGGCGAGAGGATCATCGCCCGCTGGGACCACGTCTACAAGCGGGACGCGAACCTCGGATGCAGGATCGCCAAGTCAAGGGACGTCGCGCGAGAGTTCAAGTGGCAGGAGTGCCGCGACGACCTCTGCGCGCCAGGGAGCAGCATGGCCGACAGCCGAGTGGTGGACTATGTGGCTCTGAAGCACGGATGGCCCACCTTCATTGCTGACGCGGAGGACGCGTACTACCATGTCCCCGAGGAGGAGGACGCGCGGGTCAAGTGCCCACCTGAGATCCTGGCAGAGTGCCGCGCGAAGGGCGACACTGAGGACTTCGCTTGGCAGCTCGCGAAGCAGTTGCCAGGACGGCGCGCTGGAGGGAAGCGCTGGGTCGAGTTCGCCGCGGAGCAGCCCGTGGCCAGAGGCTTCGAGCGGTCACCGATCGCGCCCCAGTTCTCCTGGAACGCCGAGCTCCCATGTCTGGTGGAGCTGCACATGTACGACATGTACGGCACAGCGCCTGGGGTCGTAGGGTCCGGCTTCGTGCTGGACTTGGGCCGTGACATCAAGGTGAAGTGGTCAGGCCTACAGGGCGCCAGTGCCGACTGCGAGTTTCTCAAGAGGCGGCGCGCGCAAAAGGCCGACGCTACCTACATTCAGCCCAACGAGAAGTACCTCACGAAGCGGCTGGAGGCGCTAGGTCTTGAGGAGGGCAACCCGTGCGCCACCCCAGGGGTGGAGGCGCGCAGGACAGGCGGGGATGACACGCCCGACCTCGGCCCAGACGAGGCTAAGCTGTTCAGGAGCGTGACCATGTGCCTGCTGTTCTACCTTCATGACCGTGAAGATGCTCAGTTCGACATCAACTACCTGACCTCGTGCATCTCATCGCCCCGCGAGGCGGACATGCGAGCCCTCGAGAGGCTGGCAAGGTACCTGAAGGGCACGAGGGACCTGGGCGCGAGGATGACCAAGCCCAGCGTGCCGCGGGACCTCGTCGACCTGGTCGCGTGGACAGACTCCGCGACTGGGCAGGCGACGCGAAGGAGCGGAAGAGCCAGACCAGCGTGCACATCACCGCGCGTGGGTGTCCAATGTTCGGGATCAGCCGCCGTCAAGACGCGCAGTCCCTTCGCAGCTGCGAAGCCGAGTGGCGCGCTGGAGCTCGAGGTCTCAGCGAAGGACTTGGGCTGAAGGAGCTTCGCGCTCATGGGTTGCAGCGCGCGCGTGAGCTGGCGATGTGACAGCTCGAGCGCGAGAGCGCTAGCTAGGCGCCAGGGCACTGGGCGGAGCAGGCACCTTGCCGCGATGACGCTTTGGACACAGCAGTGGGCGGCCAAGAAGATCATCAGCATCGAGCCCGTAGCTGGCGACGACAACCCCGCGGATCTCGGCGCCAAGGCGTTGCCGAGGACACGCCTCGAGTGGCTCCGCGAGAGTTGCGGTTTGAAGGAGGTGCCCGTGCCAGGGGCCTCGAGGGTAGCTGGGGTCGGGGCCATGCCGACCGACTTCCAGGCCCAGTCAACCCTGCTGAAGGCGTTGCTTGCAGTGGCTGCGTCGCTCCCCACAGCGGTGCAGGGAGGCTCGACCGAGTTGTGCGAGGCACCGCAGGAGACGGACGGGAGTGCGTTGACTTCGGTGGCCATGCCCGGAGTCGCGACTGAGGGCTACTACGTGAGCTTGACTGTGCTGATGGCGGGCGTGAGCCTAGGCTCCTGCTCGCATTGCTAGGGTTTTCCTTGATTTGCTGGTTTCGTCCGTGTGCGAGGCCGAGTTGGTGCCGCACGGGTGCCCCGCCGCGCGTTGGCGACGGCGGGGGGCCACCGCGCGCTCTGATCGAGGGGTCGAGCGAACCAGCAGTGAAGCTCAAGACTAGGAAGGGCGACCGCAGAAGGACGGTTGCCACCCAGAGCCAGGTCAAGTACACTTGGTGGACGACCAGCCCCCGTTTCCAGCCTTTGGGACCGAGGAAACAGGGGGTGTGGTCCGAATGGGGCCTTGAGCCGCGCACTGTTTAGATGCGCCATGGGCGCGAGTCTAGACCTCCGCGACTACGCGTCGAGGCACTGCGGGTTTAAGTTTCACTTTCTATGACCCTGGAGGGAGTGGTGGCCCGAGGGGTGTCCGAGGAGGAGCGGGCTCACCACCCGCCCCCCGCTCGGCCAGGCGGCGTGCTCGGGATCTTGAGTGATTCGGACGCCATCAAATCGTAGCATACCCGCAGGCCCTTTCGATCGAGCTGCGCTGGAGGAACAAGGAGCCCCTATATACGCTTTCCCCACGCATCCGCGTAACCTCCGCCACTATATGACGCGTTGTCGTGGATACATATCTTGTGCGCCGAGCGTGTGCCGAGGGAGGGAGGGGGAGGGAAGCAGTTACTCTCCTTCCCCCCTCCTCCCGCCCTCCCTCCCTCGTGCTCATATTTGGGCGGCGTGCATAAAAGGGGTGGCGCGAGGGGGGCGGCCTTCTAAGAAGGCAGGTTTTTGTTTGAAGGCAGGGGCCTTCTCAGAAGGTGCAGGAGGCTTCCCGGAGAGCGTCTTGGAAGCCAGGAGAGCTTCTTGGATCTAGGAAGCCTCCTGCCTCCTTGAAAGCTCCCCCGCCCTCTGAGACGGCCCCTGCCATTGCGCCACCTCCTGTGTCCGCTCCGCCAATTCGCCATTCCTCCCACCCTCCCCCTTCCGAAGGTTTGCGCTCGCGCAGGGAAGAGACCAGAGGAGCAAGGAGTACACCAGTAGAGGAGCAAGAGGGGTAAAAGGATGGATGGCTGGACGGATGGAAAGATTGATGAGGATGAGGAGGAGGAATATGATGCAGATGGCGTTGATGATGATGATGATGATGATGATGATGATGATGATGGTGTTGATGTTGGTAGTGATGCTGATGGTGCTGCTGCTCTGGGTGATGGGGAGGATGTTGATGGTGATTGTGATGATGATGGTGATTGTGATGGTGATATTGATGATGATGAAGATGATGCTGCTGCTGATGATGATGGTGGTCGTGGTGGTGAAGATGATGATGATGATGGTGATGGTTATGGCGATGACGATGGTGATGATGGTGATGATGATGGTGGTGGTGTAGTGGTGATGAGGGGAGGGGAAGGAGGAGGAGCTGGAACTGGAGGGAGAGGAGGAGAAGGAGGAGGAGGAAGAGGAGGACCAGTGTGAACCCAAGAGCCATATACGATGTTGGAAACCCTCCCTCCAAGCTCCCTCTTCATTGGCCCCTACAACGGTCGATTTCCACTGAGGGAATTGCCCCGTTGGAAGACTACCGTTGGAAGGCCCTGGCGCAAGCCAAAACATTGTTCTCGGGATTCCAACGCCACGGATCAACCTGATTGTTGCGTCTTGACGATCCTGAACCGTGCCAGAACGCCATTCCTGGGACTTCAACACCGCGAACCAACGTAACTGTTGCACCCTCAAAATCCTGAGTCCTTCCAAACACGATTTCTGGTACGCTGATCATGGGAGCCCGTGGAACTCTTGCACATGTTAAATAAAAAAGAATGCGCGCGGCGCTAAGGCGAGAGCCAAATGTTGAAAAGGAACCGCCCTCAATCCGTGAAATCCTTGCAACTTGTTGAAGCGAATGGACGCGGCGCTAAGGCGAGAGCCACATTTTGAAAACAGGTCGCCCTCAATCCGTGAAACTCTTGCAATGTGTGAAAACGATTGTGCGCGGCGCTAAGGCGAAAGCCACCTTTTGAAAACGACCCGCCCTCTATGTGTGAATATGTTGCCAATGTTTAAGTTTCAGGGTCATAATTGTCAGGGAGTCTCAGGCGAAACACCCGGCCCGCCCTAAAAACTGGCCTCGGGGTGCGACAGGAAGTTATTGAATCGCTTCGCTCATTCCGCCGGCCCTCGAGCGCTCTATGGGGTCTCTTTGAAGCCTCTTGGGGGCCTCTTTGGGGCCTCCTGGGGGCATCTTGGGGGCCTCTTGGGGGTCTCTTGGGGCTCCTTGGCGGCGTCTTGGGGCCCCCTTGGGCCTCTTGGGGGGCTCTTGGGGGCCTCTTGGGGCGGGGTAGTCGAGTGCACCCCCCTCGGAGGCCACGATCCTCGTGAGGGGTGTCGAAAAAAGGCCCTCAAAACCATCTCTGAGTAGGCCTGGTCGGGCTGCGGTCGGGATACTTTTCGCCGGGGGACCCCCAGGGGCCGCCCCGCGCGCGCGAACTAGAAATATTGTTAACCAGTTGCCAGAGATCTTAGCACGCCTCTGGCCCGTTGGGCCGGCGAATTTGCAAGGGGAAGAAATGGAGGAGGGGAAGGAGGAGGAGGAGGAGGAGGAGGAGGAGGAGGAGGAGGAGGAGGAGGAGGAGGAGGAGAAGCTCTCTCCCTCCTCCCGTCCGTTTCGCCTGTCTGCCTGCTTTCCCTTGCTGGTGCAGCCTATCCCACCAGCCGGCGACTCCATGGGGCGGCCGCCCCTGGAGTGACTTGGCTTGCTAGTTTTACCTCTCCCCCCAGGGCCGACTGGCCCTGGGGGGGGGGGATGGCGACGTCTGGAGGCTTCACTGCCATGAGTTCCCCAGTGCCTCAGGATGAGCTCTCGCTGGTCCGAGGCGGGGGTTCGTCCACCACCACCGCCTGGGGGATCGATCCCTGCGGACCTCCGCAGGCGGTGGATGTGGACAGATTCGGCCCCCCGGGGACCAAAGTATGTCTATATCCACCGCCCGCTGGGGCACCAGGACGTCAGTGCCCAGGCGGTGGATATGGATAAATCCCCGCCTCGAATCTGGAGGCCGCCGACCCCACCCTCTGTTGCAGCTTCCCTTGCCAGGCAAGCCAGAGGACGTGAGCAGCATCACGCAGAGGCTGTACGACGCAGCGGAGGAGCGCAGGCAGTGGGCGGAGGAGCCTGCTGCACGGGCACCCTCCTCCTCGCTGTCCTTGTTCCCTTCCTCGTCCCCCTCCGCCATTTCTCAACTACGCGGATCATACATCCCCTTTGCAAGCGTTTACTCATCTGGGCTAAAATTGAGATATTTGGGGGCTGTGGTGATGATTAATGTGGGAGTGACTTGTTCGCTGTGATTTCACACGGGGATCTGCTTACAATTGCATTGAGGTGACCGGGAGCGACTTTCTTCTTCAGAATTACAGGGGGAGAGATTTTATCCTAAGTCGGTTAGTATATACAATTAGATGTACGCCAAGGAGAACCCTGGAAAGCTTTCCCGCCCAGCCAGGCCGAATGCAGTCGTCCTGGGAGCCTACGGGGGACAGGGGGTCCCGCCCGGAGACGCCCTAATTGTCAGTGCTCAAGATGGATAATTTTCGCAACGGGTGAGTAAGGTGTGCTTCAAGTGCCACCTCAGCAAGTCACTCCACTTCGGTGGCCACCATCAGCCATCCGCCCCTTGGACGCGAGCTTCCGCTTGGGACACGGGGCCGCCGACGGTGGGAGAGGAGAGGCCCCGCACGGACCAGTGGGATACTGTGAGCACCTTGGCCCGTGCCCGTGCGAGAAGGGCGCTGGCTCTGGCCACGGAGGCTGATCCTCGAGCAGGTCGGCAGCAGGTGGCCGCGTGGCGTGTGCAGGGCTGCCGCGCCTGCGGCCAGGGTCGCGCAGGCCGCTTCGGTTCCGTGCCGTGGCCCGCGGTCGGCGAGGCGGTGTGGGCGGGGAGGCGAGGGGCGGGTGGCGGCTGGACGGTGTGCCCACGGCGTCCCCCGCGCGGTGCAGCGGCGGGGTGAGAACCTCACAGGTGTCCTTCTGCACCGCGTCGCTGGGAGGTTCGCCGCGTATGGACCGTCGCCACGTGGCGGCGAAGTGTGTGATGGGGGCCACCCGCGAATGCCGAGGCGGTGTGCAGCGCATCGGGGCAGGCCCGTGCCCACGGAGAGAGAGAGAGAGGTGCCCAGTGTCTCTCGGCGGTGCCTCGATGCAAGGCGCGGGATATTTCGCGGCTGGCGGGTGGGCCGAGTGGGCGCTATGCCCAGGGAGGCGAGCGTAGGCCGTCCGCCTCTGGCGGCTCGTCCCGTCCCCCCCTGGGGGGCGGCTTGACTGGCTGCTGAGCGGTTGCGGTGGTGTTGCGGCATGGATCCCGCTTGTGTCGTTCCCGTTCGTGGTTGTGCTCGTTTCCCGCTCCCTATCCCCCCCCCCTGCACGATCCCCTGCGCTTGAACAAAAGGTCCTAGAGGTCCTCCTCCTCCTCCTCCTCCTCCTCCTCCTCCTCCTCCTCTTCCTCCTTCTCCTCGTCCTCCTCCTCGTCCTCCTCTCTCTCCCTCCTCCTCCTCCTCCTCCTCCTCCTCCTCCTCCTCCTCCTCCTCCTCCTCCTCCTCCTATCCTCCTTATTCCTTATTAGAATATACTCCTACTCCCCCCTCAGGCCGGCCATTAGGGGCCGCATCCGGGTGGTCCCATCCTAACCTGTAAAAAACAATACAAAATCAACATTTTTTCTTATTTTTTCCTCTCGACATGGACGTCCTGTCGTCCACGGCGATAATCCATTGCAAAAAATACCACAAAGAGCACACGCGCGCGTTCATGTCAGAATCCTACCGAACACCGTGTGTTTGCAAGCATTTCAACATAAAAACATCAAAAACCCAATGCTTTTTCACAAAAATTGTACAAATTTCCCGCCCGGGCTCTCTTGCTGAAATCATAGGAAAACCATAGGAATCTTAAGAATTCGGTCAAATCCAGCGATTTCACGTCATCGCGCGGTGCACTCGCGATGCTCTGTCATGCACCCAGGCCGCGAATCCTGTGCAAAAAAGAGCACAAAGAATCCTACCGACAAAGAGCATAAAAACATTGGGGTGTCCTGTCAGACCGTCGGGCTTCCTCCGGCCACCTCTGGCTTCCTGCGGTGTACCGGGCCATTCTCGACTCGTCTGGCAATGCGTGCGCGGCATTCAACACGCGCTCGCCAGTTCCCGTCGGCAACCGCCATCGCGGCCGCATCAGCTGTACCAAACCGGCTGGCCGGTGTGACTTCGGCCCCCAGTTGTGCCAGCTTTGCTTCTTATGTTGTGGGAGGGCGGGTGGGACCGGGCATGCCATGCTTGACTCGCTCGAGCTGGCTAGCTTGACTCCTACTCCTACTCCTACTCCTTCTCCTCCTCCCCCTCCCTTTTTTTCCTCATCCTCTTCCTGCCCCCGCCCACTCCACATTTCTCGCCTTCTTGCCCTTGCTGATGCTCCGCTACTTGCGCCCATCTCAGCGCACCCGTCACGAGGGTCGTGCCCCCCATAGGGGAGTTCCACCTACGGCCCCAGTGGGCGCGTCCGCATGCGGCACGACGCCCCTTCTGGCGCACCCCTCACGAGCATGGTGCCCCCCCCCCCCCCCCGGAAGGGGTTGTTCATTCAGCCCCGCTTGTTGCATCCGCATGTGGGACCACGCCCGCTTCCACGCATCGCTTACGAGGATGGTCCCCCCCCCTAGGGAGCTGCACCTATGGCCCCAGCGGACGCGTCCGCATGCGGGCCCACGCCATCTCGGCGCACCCTCAAAAGACCGTGCACACAGATGGAGCTCCACCGATGCCCCCGGTGTGTGTTCGCTCGCATGCGGCACCACGCCCGTCTCGGTGCATCCGTCACGAGGGTCGTGCCCACATGGGGAGCTCCACTTGCGGCCCCAGCGGGCGCGTCCACATGCGGGATCACGTCCCTTTCGGCGCCCCCCTCATGAGGATCGTGCCACACAGGGAGTTCACACTGCCTCCCGAATGTGCGCCCGCATGCGGGACCACGCTCGTCTCGGATTGTCCCTCACGGGGATCGTGCCCACATAGGGAGCTCACATATGTCCCCAGTGTGCGCGCCCGCATGCGGGACCCTCGGCGCACCCCTCACGAGGATCGTGCCCATGAAGGGAGCCCCGCTTGCGGCCGCAGTGGGCGCGTCCGCATGCGGGACCACGCCCATCTCGACGCACCTCTCGCGAAGATGGTGCCCCATGGGGAGCTCCATCTGTGGCCGCAGCGGGTGCACCCGCATGTGGGACAACGTCCATCTCGGTACAGCACTCACGATGATCGTGCCCCCACAGGGGGCTCCACCTAGCGTGCCAGTGGGCGCGTCCGCATGCGGAAGGACGCCCGTTTTGGCGCACCACTCGCGATAGTTGTGCCCCCATCGAGACTTCACCTGAGGCCCCAGTGGGCGCTCCTCCTCTTCCTCCTCCTCCTCCCGCCTCCTCCTCTTTCTCCTCTTCCTCCTACTCCTCCATTCTTTTTCCTCGTCAATAACCCTGGGAAGCAATCAGTAAACCCCCCTCCCCCCCCCCCCCCCTTCATCAGAGGAAATTATAACGCTTCCGGCACCGGGGCCGGGGCGGAAGCGATAATTATCCCCCGCAGGTCACCAGAGGTCCGCGGAGGGGAGGTCCCCGGAGGTTCCCAGGAGGCATCCAGAAAGGCCTCCACAAGCCTCTGAATGCCCGGTCCCCTTGTAGTCCAGAGCCCAGCGACAAGGCACACCTGCCCAGAGTCGCTTCCTGTGATTCTGTGCGTTTCTGTGAGATTCCTCAGAGATTCCTCTGATACTCCGATTGGCTTCTTTTGAGATTCCTTGCCGTTTCCATTGTGATTATTTTGGGGCTCCTTTGAGACTCCTCTGGTGTTCCTTTGATGTTATTCTGAGGGTCCCTTGAGGCTCCGGTCATATCCCTTTGATGCCCCATCCGGGGCCGGTGGATTAATTTATTTTTAAAAAATGTGCTAACATATCGCGGGGGGGTTCGCGGAATGCGTCTGCGAAATCTCTCCGTGGACTCTCCCATAGGATCCCCTGAAAGAATCAATATGTGATTATTTTGGGACTCCTTTGAGACTCCTCTGGTGTTCCTTTGATGTTATTCTGGGGGTCCCTTGAGGCTCCGGTCATATCCCTTTGATGCCCCATTGCTCAAGAGAGCATCACATCGACATCCGGGGCCGGTGGATTATTTTATTTGTAATAAATGTGCTAACATATCGCGGGGGGGTTCGCGGAATGCGTCTGCGAAATCTCTCCGTGGACTCTCCCATAGGATCCAATGAAAGCATCAATTTCCCTAGTGCGGTCGCAATAGGGATTGCTTATGTCCACGCGAGCCCGCGTTTTCCAAATGCCTTAGATTCCTTTGTGGTTCGTTTGAGCTGCCGCTGAGATGCCTTTGACATGTCTGTTGGGCTCCTTTGAGATTGCTTTGAACTTCCATTGGTTCCTTCGATATCATGCGTGCGATTCCTTGTGATATTATTATGGGATTCCTTTGGGGGTTCTTTCAAGTTCCTCTGATATTCCTTCGACAATCCCTGAAGGGAGCATCACATCGACCTCCGGTGCCTGTGGATTATTTTATTTTCAATAAATGTGCTAACATATCGCGGGGGGGGTTCGCGGAATCCGTCTGCGATATCCCTCCGTGGACTCTCCCATAGGACCCCGTGAAAAAACAATTTCCCTATTGCGGCCGCAATAGGGTTTGCTTATGTCCACGCGAGCCCGCGTTTTCCAGATTCCTTAGATTCCTTCGTGGTTCGTTTGAGCTGCCGCTGAGATCCCTTTTTGCGATTTCTGTGGGGTTCCTTTGAGCTTACTTTGAATTTCCAATAGGGATCCTTTGAGATTCTGCGTGGGCTTCCTTCTGAGATTCCTCTGGGATTCCTTTGGGGGGTCATTTCAAGTATTGTTGCTTGCGGTGATTTCATTGTTTGTCATTTTTGATTTACCTTTGATTTCCGATGCGCGTCAGTTTCCCAGTGTTCTAGCAAGGCAGGAATGCATTGGCAAGCGTTCGTGCGCGTTGGTTCTTCAAGCTGTCGCCTCGCGTTGCCGCCAGCTCCGGGCCCGGGGGGGCAAATTAATTAATGAATTATTTTATTTATTTTAATGTGCTAACGATATCGCCGGAGGGCGCCGCCCAAAATAATTATTTATTTTATTTTCTGTGCTAGCGATATCGCTGGGGGGTTTACTGTTTGCTTGCCAGGGTTAAGTCCTCCCTGTCGCAACCCGCGGCCAGTTTTTAGGGCGGGCTGGGCGTTTCGCTTGAGACTTCCTCACCATTTATGACCCTGAAGGTTTAACATTGACAACAACTTCACATATGGAGGGCGGGTCGTTTTCGAAATGTGGCTCTCGCTTTAGCGCCGCGCGCATTCGTTTTCAACATTTGCACGAGTTTCACTGATTATGTGGCTCTCGCTTCAACGCCGCACATATTCGTCTTTTAAACAAATGCAAGAGTTTCACGGCTTGAGGGCGGGCCGTTTTCAACATGTAACTCTCGCCTTAGCGAAGCGCACATTCGTTAGTTTAAATTTCAAGAGCTTAACGCTTAACGGTTTGAGGGCGGTTCCTTTTTCAAAATGTGGTTCTCGCCTCAGCGCCGCGCACATTCGTGCTTTGAATCTGCAGAAGTTTCACGGACTCCCATGATCAGCGTATTCGAGATGGTGTTCTGCATGGGTGCAACAGTTGCGTTGCTTCGCGGTGTTGAAGTCCCAGGAATGGCGTTCTGGCACGATTCAGGATCGTCAAGACGCAACAGTCAGGTTGATCCGTGGCGTTGGAATCCCGAGAACAATGTTTTGGCATGCGTCAGAGTCTTCAATCGTTTGTCATCCAACGAGGCAGTTCCGTCAGTGGAAATGATCCGTTGTAGGGGCCTATGAACTTGGAGGGAGGGTTTATTCCAACTTCGTTGATGACTCTTGTGTTTACACTGGTCCTCCTCCTCCTCCTCCTCCTCCTCCTCCTCCTCCTCCTCCTCCCGCCTCCACATCCTGCTCCTCCCGCCTCCACATCCTGCTCCTCCCTCTTGAGCCTGGGCTGGGGAGGACAAGCAACACACGCTGGACTGCAGCATCCTGGAGGCGGCCAGGACCCCACGCGCGGCCGCGACCTCCCTGAACCCGCACACGCCGGCTACGGGGAGCTCGTTCGTCCGGCTGTTCAACGAGGCCTGGTGGGCACGGCAGGGTGCTGTGGGCGACGGCAGGAGGGGTGGCCCCAAGGGTGGGCATCACAGCTGACGCGAGCAGGAGCGGGAGGAGGAGCAGGAGCGGGAGGAGGAGCAGGAGCGGGAGGGGCTGGCCCAGAGCGTGGGCATCACGGCTGACACGAGTGTTCAGCAGGAGGAGCAGGAGCGGGAGGAGGCCTTCCCCCCCAGGCCAATCAGAAGGCTGAGAAGCTGCGGACCATGCGGCAGGAGAGCGTGAAGGCTGCCCGTCCGGACGACGCAGGGTTTCGGCTCCCCCCTCCCTGGCTCCGGATTCGCCATAATTTGTCTGATTTTCCGGCTTGCAATTGTGCCGAACATGTTTTCCGTAGGATGCAAAAGAGTAGGGCGGAAATGTTCGCCTCAGAAAAGTTCGGCGGACATGTCCGCCATACTCGTGGAAGGCTCCACAACTTTGTGGAGCAATTCCACAACTGTCCACGAAGTAGGGCGGACATCCACAAAAGTAGGGCGGAAACAGCGACGGCAAAGTAAAGCACAGGGCAGGAGTCTACATTCGAAGACCATGAAAAGTAGGGCGGGCAGTTCCGCCCTGCTTACCAACTCGCACAGAGTAGGGCGGATCCAGAGTCAGGGTGTTGCGAACGGCATGGCAGCCACGTGTTGAACAACTGAAGGCGGTGGTCTGTGGTCGTTTTCGCGTCCGGGGGCCCGCGCCCGGCCCCAGGGGCCGTCGAAAAACGGTCCAGGGCGAAATCTTGGTCCCAAGGAGGTGGTCCAGAGCTCCCGGGGCCTCGCGTCGAAAAAGTCAGGTCACTGGAGGTCTGGGTCAGCATCGTAGCGATAGCTCTCTGTGCCCTTCGTGTCCTGTTCGCCCTGATCCTTTTCTCGCTGTAGCTGCCCAGCGGGCCCAGGAAGCAGCTCGCTCGGCGGCGCATGCTGTTCCCAAGATGCGTAACGGGTCACACCACTGCTGCCACCATCACCGCTTCCTCCATCTCCCCCCTCCATCCTCACTTCCCCCCGCCCCTTCCTCCCTCTCTCCTCCCCCCCCCTCCCTCCTCCCTCCTTCTCCTCTTCCTCCTCCTCCTCCTCCTCCTCCTCCTCCTCCTCCTCCTCCTCCCTCTTGCATGCTCGTGCTTTCCTCCCCCGTCTTCCCTCCTCCCTTCGGCACCCCCCCTCTCCCCATCCCTCCCGACCCTCCCCTTCCTCCTCCTGCCCTCCTCGTGCTACCCTTTTTCTCCTTCCCCTCCATCCCTCCCTGCCCTGTCCTGTCCTGCGCGAGAGGCCCCCCCCCATCACCAGGTCTACTGAGCCTCTACGCCACCCAGTCTCTGGGCGCGGTCCCCCTGCACAGTGCTTTATGGTTTTTTATTACGCCGCCGTGGAATTCCTGGTGAATGCTTTTCCTAGAGTGTCGACCTGGTGTAAAGTCGGGCCTGTTCCTTCACAGGAGGCATAGTTTGGTAAGGATTTTGCGACTATTGTTTAGCATGTTTCTGCATTTGTTGACTAAGCTGGCGTTTGCGAGAAATGTCCGCCCTAAGTACTTCTCCGAGGTGGAGATTTCCGCCCTATGTCTTCGCATCGTTTGGGGGTGCATGTCCGACACCATTCGAAGTCGGCAGATCAGCCAAAGTAGGCGGATCCGTAGTCAGAGAGGAGCTACCGTGGATGTAAGAAATTAGCTCGAAGTCGAATTATAACGTTGGATTTCCGCCGTTCAAGTAAAATAGATTGAGTGCAGTCTGGGCCACGACAGTCGGGCTCAAAAAACTGCACTTGTGGTTCGCGTTTGTTTGCATGTTCGGCGGCCGCCGCCGATCGCGCCCAGCGTGGAACCCGCGGACCTTGAATGTCGACATCCCAACATAGTACGAACCGTGTTCGTGCCAGTGCTTTCCATCCACGGTAGCGCTTGACTTCTGCCCCAGATGCCCTGAGATCCGACGTCTCAGCAAAAGCTGAGACGCCGTGAAAACTCGAGCCTGGAGCCCTGGACCGCCTCTCACTGCGCCGCTTTTCGAGCCGGATCGACCCGTGAGGGCCCCAGGGCCCGAGATCGTACGAACACGCCCGGCTCGACAGCATGGAGTCGCCGGGATCCCGGGGTGAGATCCCCTCCCCTCCCGGCGCGCGCGCCTCGGCAGGCCGAGTGGGCGCAGATCCTGCAGGGCTCGGTGCACAGGAGGGCACAGGCCCCGGCCGCCCTGAGCGCCCTCGCTCACCCTCCCCCTCCTCCCCCCTCCCTTTGTCGAAAGGGGGAGGAGGAGGAGGAGGAGGAGGAGGAGGAGGAGGAGGAGGAGGAGGAGGAGGAGGACCGAGGAAAAGGAGGAGGAGGAGGAGGAGGAGGAGAGGAGAAGGAGGAGGAGGAGGAGGAAAAAGAGGAGGAGGAGGAGGACCGAGGAGGAGGTGGAGAAGGACCGAGGAGAAGGAGGAGGAGGAGGAGGAGGAGGAGGAGGAAGAGGAGGAGAAGGAGGAGAGGGACCGAGGAGGAGGAGGAGGAGGAGGAGGAGGAGAAGGAGGAGTAGGAGGAGGAGGAGGAGGAGGAGGAGGAGGAGGAGAGGACCGGAAGAAGCAGGAGGAGGACCAGTGAAAAACCAAGAGTCATCAACGATGTTGGAATGAACTCTCCCTTCAGGTTTCCTCTTCATAGGCCCCCACAGCCGTTAATTTCCATTGAGGGAACTGCCTCGTTGGAAGACAACCGTCTGAAGATCCTGAAGCATGCCAAAACATTGTTCTCGGGATTTCAACGCCACGTATCAACCTGACTGCTTTGTCTTGACGATCTGGAATCGTGGCAGAGCGCCATTTTTGGTACTTCAACATCGCGAATCAAGATAACTGTTGCACCCGCAAAATCCTGAATCCTTCCAAAACACAATTTCTGGTACGATGATCATGGGAATCCGAGAAACTCTTGCAAATGTTGAAAACGAATGCGCGCGGCGCTAAGGCGAGAGCCACATTTTGAAAAAGGACCCGCCCTCAAACCGTGAAGCTCTTGAAAATTTTGAAAGCGAATGTGCGCGAAACGACCCGCCCTCACTGTGTGAAACTCTTGCAAATTCTGAGAGCGAATGTGCGCGGCAGCTCTTGCAGTTTTTCTGTCGCGGACGTGCGCGCGCTAAGGCGAGAGCCACATTTTGAAATCCACCCGCCCTCAATCCGTGAAGTTCTTGCAATGTTTTGTCGCGAATGTGCGCGGCGCTAAGACTAGAGCCCCATTTTGAAAACCACCCGCCCTCAATCCGTGAAACTTCCTGCAGTTTTTTCCCAACCCTCCTTGGTTGGGTTTTCGTTTTGAATGGTGCACTGTGGTCTCCGTCCTTCCTTCTCTCCTTCCCGCCTCCCTCCTGCCTCCTCTGGTCTTGCCTCGGGGGGGGGAGGCTGCGATCTGTGAAACTTTTGCCACTTTCGAGGGCTACTGGGGGGTCCAGCACAGTGACGTCCTACGCAGATTCAAGTGAAACCTCGCCATCCCTGGGGGGCTGCGATCTGTGAAACTGTCGCCACTTTCGAGGGCTGCTGGGGGGTCCCTGCAGCTGCTTCGCGGTTTGCCTCAGGTTCTCCTCCGGTTCTCGATCAGAAAAACCGAAGTTCAGTTTCTGGAACCAAAAGGGGCCTCCTCCCTCCCTTCTCGTTCCTGAGGTCCACGCCCCAGCTGTGGTGCCCCCGTGGCCCCCGCGCTGGCTGCACGACCAGGCCGCCCCGCGGGCTGTCGGGCGGGCCTCTCGGGCCGCCCCGCGGGCTCCCGAGCGAAGTGAACCCCACCCTCCCCCTCAGAAATCGTGGGGGGTCGGGGTAGGGTTCGCACGTGGCCCCCTAGCCTTGGCCTCCATTCTGGAGGTCCTTCCATCACCTCCGGAAGGAAGGTCTTTGATCCTCGGGGTCGCCCCCGTGCCCCTCTTCTCGGGGTGGCGAGATGCAGTGAGAAGGACACGCTCCAAAATGGCCAGGCTCTCTCGATGCCCCGCGCGGCCAGAGACGAGCGGCCGAGTGCGACCGGGGCAGACTTTCATCCGATCGATCCGCTTCGATATCGATGCTGCTCGGCCCGATCCCTTTTCCACTCCGGCTTTCGGGCGATCCGGTGTGGCCCGATGCTCGCATGGCGCCGTTGTGTGTAACGGTCCGATTTGATTCCGACTCCGTGCCCGTATCGGCCCAGCCCGATGCGCGTTCTGGTTCGATCCGATTTTCCGATTCGAGGGGTCCTGCACGTGGGGCATTCGAGAATACGCGGGGCTCTGCTGGCGCCTTGTCCCTTGCCTCCAGATGTGTCCCTCACGGCTCAGTGACTTATTCGCCGCCAGCTGCATTGGTCAACGCATCTGTGCCATTCGATTGGTGTCTCACGGGCCGCTTACGCGAAAAGTATGGGAGCTTGACCGAGTCCTGCGGCACAGTAGAGTCGTCGAGTGGACGTTTGGTTTGCCGATAAGCGCCATTGGAAGGACGGCACGAGTCATTGGAGGATGACAGTTTGCATTGCTACGTTAGTGCACGTTGTTCGTGCTTGCGAGTTCGTGTGATGATGTCCGTTGCGTCTGCGTATACGTGTGCTGTCGCATGTTAGCCTTGTTTCGCGATCCAATTGGTGTCATATTTGCTTACAGCCCTACTGGAATGACGGCGCGAATCTTGTCGGGTGTGCACTTTCGATGATTGAGTCGTTTCGCTCATTCCGCCGGCCCATGATGCTGATCTCGCTGGTATTTGCTCGCGTGGTCGTTGCCCCTGGTGCTACTGCTGCTGCTGCTCCTCCTCCTCCTCCTCCTCCTCCTCCTCCTTCTCCTCCCGTCCTCCTCCCTCCCTCCTCCTCCTCCTACTCCTCCTCCTCCTCCTCCTCCTCCTCCTCCTCCTGCTCCCGCTTTTTTCCTGCTCCTCCTTCTCCTCCTCCTCCTCCTCCTCCTCCTCCTCCTCCTCCTCCTCCTCTTCCTCTTCCTCTTCATCGTCCTCGGTACATTCTCCGTTTGCAGCTCCTATCTTGCCGATCGACCTCCCGCTCTTTCCGATCATCTTGGGGCTCTCTTGGAGCCTTTTGGGGGCCTTTTGGAGATGTTGGGGGGCTCTTGTGTGCTTCTTGGGGCCTCCTGGGCGCCTCTCGGGGCCTCCTAGGCGCCACTTGGGAACGAGGGCTCGACGTGTCCGTTCGGGCATCCCCTTGTGGGCTCTATCTTGGGGCCGTCCTGGGGCCCTTGCGGGCCGTCTTAGAGGTATCTGGAGCCGTCTTGGGGCGATCTTGAGGGCTTCTAGGGCCGTCTTCGGGCGTCGGGAAGCCGCAACGGCGAGAACGGGCCCTCTCTTGGTGACGTCCCCGGGCCCTTGTGGGCCGTCTTGGAGGCCTCTTGGGCCGTCTCGGGGCCTTCTTGGGGCGATCTTGGAGGCCTCTGGGGCCATGCTGCAGCGTGGGGAAGCCGAAATGGCGAGAACGCCGAAATCGCTCGAACATCCTACCGAACATCTATGATAATTGCCTCTTGGGGCGCTCTTGGGAGTGCTCTGGGAGGCTTCTCAGGGCGTCTTGGAGGTCTCTTGGGCTGCCTGGCGGCCATCTTGTGTGGTCTTGGGGCGATATTGGGGGCCACTGGGGCCGTCTTGGAACGTTGGGAAGCCGAGATGGCGAAAACGGGCCTTCTCTTCTTGCCGTCTTTGGGCCCTTGTGGGCCGCTTTGGAAGCCTCTTGGGCCGTCTTAGGGCCCTCTTTCGTTGGGCCGTCATCAGGGCCTGATGGAGGCTTCTGGCGCTGTCTGTGGGCGATCTTGGAGGCCTTTGGGGCCTTGTTCGAGCGTCGGAAAGCCGAAATGGCGAGAACGCCGACATCGATCAAAAACCCCAGGGAGCATCGCAGATGTTTGCCTCTTGGGGCGTTCTTGGGAGTCCTCTGGGATGCTTCTGAGGGCGTCTTGGAGGCCTTTTGGGCTGTCTGGGGGCTATTTTGTGCCCTCTTGGGGCGATCCTGGGTGCCTCTTGGGCCATCTTGAAAGCGTCGGGAAACCGAAAAAGCGAGAACGGGCCCTCGCTTGGGGCCGTCCTGGGGTCCTGGTGGGCCGCTTTGGAAGCCTCTTGGGCCGTCATGGGGCCCTCTTTCGTTGAGCCGTCTTCAGGGCCTGGTGGATGCTTCTGGCGCCGTCTGTGGGCGATCTTGGAGGCCTTTGGGGCCTTGTTCGAGCGTCGGAAAGCCGAAATGGCGAGAACGCCGACATCGATCAAAAACCCCAGGGAGCATCGCAGATGTTTGCCTCTTGGGGCGCTCTTGCAAGTCATCTAGGAGGCTTCAGAGGGCGTCGAAGCCTCTTGGGCTCCCTGGGGACCATCTCGTCCGTCCTGGAGCGGTCTTGTGGCGTCTCGGAGCACTATTGGACCTTCTTGGCCTCTTGGGGGCTTCTTGACCCTTCTGGGGGCTCCCTGAGGAGCCCCGAGGGAGGCGCCCAGGAGCAAAACCATCTCTGATGGGACCTTGCTGGAGATCGCTCGGGGTACTTTCCGCCGGGCGACCCCCATGAATTGCCCACGCGCGCGAGCTAGAAATCTTCTGCACCTGGCAATGGAGATCCTAGCACGCCTTTGGCCCGTTGGGCCAGCGAATTTGGTGCATGCTGGGGACAGAGATGAAGGGGGACAGGAGGGAGGAGGCTCGGGAGAGGACGGCGGCATAATCGGGAGAGAACGTGGCAGAGGCGGCGTGGACTCACGGGAGGGACGGGGCACTGACCAAGAAACTCACGGCCTCAGTGTTTGGCGCGCGGTGCGCGTCACGACCGAACCATGGTGCCTCCAGCGCTCTTCAAGAGTGCACGTGTGTTTTTGTTGTTGTTGCCGTTGTCGTCGTTGTCGTTGTCGTTGTCGTTGTTGTTGAACTCTCATTTCTGAAGAATAATTATTTTGACCCCCCCTCACGGGTGCATGTTGTTCTTTCTCCGTCAAAGTGTGCCATTAGACGGTCGCACCCTGCCTTTTGACAGGGAAAGTCTTCGTGGTCAAACTGTGCCCCTGGCCACCCGGACTACAACAACAACGGCTCCCGCCTTCCTCCAACTTTACTCAGGACCCCCGCTTCCGCCTGAGGCTTCGTCCCAATTTACTCAGGATCGGCGCTCCCGCCTGTGACTTCCTCGCAACTTAGTCAGGACCCCCTCTCCCGCCTGAGGTCTCCTCACAATTTACTCAAGAACGGCGCTCCCGCTTAAGA